TTTGAGACCTAAACATCAAGTTGGAACTTCTTTTTGATCTTGTGCATGTAATGTATATATTGAAATGTGTATGGCTTGGTCCAAAACACTCCTGTGAAATCTAATCTGATGTCTCTGACTTTTAAATTACTATTTCATGTACTATTACTATTGCAGCAGCGCACATACACCGTATTTTAGCATGATTTTTTTTTCTCCTGAATCAGTAGTGAAACTTCTTTCAACTTTAACAAAAAACTTACATAGTGTTGCTTTAATAAAGAGTTTACCTGTAGTGGCTCATCACTGGAGAACAAATAGTGTGAATAAGTTTCTTTGGACAACTGAAATGATTTGTTTGTCATGATGAAACATTGTTGAAGTGACCATATTGTGCTTGTTAGGGTAAGACTGGTTGAAAGAGGGGCACCTCAGTCTCTTCCTCTGATGGAGTCTGGAACAGTGAGTACAACATCCACTTCAGCGAGACTGAACCATTATGACTTCATTTGCAACATGAAAAATGTTTCTCCTCTTCTATTATTTCCCTCTCCTTTTTTCAGATCCTTCCTGGAGTGAGGGTGATAATAGTGAATCCAGAAACCAGGGGGCCGCTAGGGGATTCTCATCTGGGAGAGGTGTGTATGTGTGCTGAGAAAGTGTGTATTGCAGTGTGGCAGTACGGAAAGCATCAGTGTTATTGTAGTAATATGGCTCTCCCTCTGTTTCAGATTTGGGTGAACAGTCCTCACACAGCGACAGGCTACTACACCATCTACGGAGAGGAGAGCCTGCAGGCTGACCACTTCAACACCAAACTCAGCTTTGGAGATCCACAAACACTCTGGGCCAGGACTGGATACCTCGGCTTTATCAAAAGGACTGAACTCACAGACTCCAGTGGAGGTGAAAGAGAAAGAGAGAGATATTCCAATATCATACTATGTTTTCCCTCCCCCTCCCTATCTGGCGCTTTCTATACTACCAGGATTTCACCTCCCTCATCTAGTGCGGGTGCTGGAGGTGTTGTCCTTCACAACTGCATGTTGACTGGTGTCCAGGGCCTGTATTCATAAAGCTTCTCAGAGCATGCATACTGATCTAGGATGAGATTCCTTTCTTATTTACTATGACTTTCCTGACAGGAACAGATCCTAGATCAGCACTTCTGCTCCAAGAAGCTTTGTGAATACCGGCCCATATCTGACTCCATGTTGGTTTGGAATTTTTTTCAGACAAATCGCAGTGGATATTGCATGTCTCGCCCATAATTATTTCTCACCCATATGTCCTGTTTCATTCGGAAACACATAACGTTAAAGAAGACAGATGTGTTTCATTTTCCAATTCACATTAACTTTAACACATTACAGGGTTTCCACACGTTCTGGAAAACATGGAAATGTAGAGAATTGTAAAGTTCACAGTTAAATAAAAATGTCCTGGAAATATTAGTGAAGTACTGGAAAAGCCACCAAGGTTGCATATTTTGGTATATTTTAGCTGATCATACCCATTTTGAGTCTCCATTCTTACCTACTGTAGCGTGGAATGCTACAGTATTGCATGTGAGCGGATATGTGTACACTGTGTCGCCTGTTTCAGCAGGGCTACATTAAAACATGCCTGCTTTTAATGTTTTAGTAGAACTTGTGATCAAATGATGATAGTCATTTTCATGAGCAACAGCTGTGTTGCATGGCATGGAAATGATCCTGGAATTTGTCCTGGAAAAGTCCTGGAAAATGTTTTGTTACTAAGCATGAGAACCATTAGAATTTTCAGTTTGACACATAATAACAAGTAATAGAGAATAATAATAAGGAATAACACAGGTTGCTTTTAGATATGGAAATAAACAGACAGTCAAAAACTGAAGTAACCATAACAGTAGTGAAAGATGAGAGGCAGATTGAAAAAAGGAAGGGAAAAAGGCCAAATTTTATTTTGTTAGCTCAAAATGAAAATGTATGAATACAGATAAATAGTTGTGGTCTCCAGTTAGATTCACTGTCTATATGTGATTTTAATGCATCTATACATGATCAAAAATTGTTTTTCATTTTTAACTTTTTACATTAACATTTTCCTAGACCGTCATGATGCTTTGTTTGTGGTGGGATCTCTGGATGAAACTCTGGAACTTAGGGGTCTGCGCTACCACCCTATCGACATAGAAACCAGCGTATGTCGGGCTCATCGCAGTATCGGTGAAAGGTAAGATTTCATGTGATGGGTACTCCAAGAAACTGTTTTTTTTGTTTATGTGACAAACTTTAGTCAGTGATGCTGTTCTCCTGCCACAAACTCTCTCTTTTACTCTTTCTTATCTCAGTGCTGTGTTTACCTGGACTAATCTTCTTGTGGTCGTGTCAGAACTGTGCGGATCGGAGCAGGATGCGCTGGACCTGGTCCCTTTGATAACTAACGTGGTACTAGAGGAGCATCACCTGATTGTGGGGGTGGTGGTGATTGTTGATCCTGGGGTCATCCCCATCAACTCTCGTGGTGAGAAGCAGAGAATGCACCTGAGAGACTCTTTCCTGGCTGATCAGTTAGACCCCATCTACGTGGCCTACAACATGTGAGCCCAAATCCAGGCTTTGGAGTTAAAGAGCAGCCTGGAGAAGATCTGCAGATCTGCATGGAGATTGAGTCTTCTGCCTTAAGGCACATATGCTGGGTTTGAGTCTTCATGATGTGTAGAAGACTTTGTTGTTGTTTCACTATGGGCAGAGTATCAGCTATAAGTAAAAAAAAACATCATGACAGACCACTGGTAAGGCAGGAGAGGGTCAACATACTGTTTTTTTTTTCCTTATGAAACAGAACGTTTATTTGTTTTCTCCCCAATTTTAGCCCCCCCAGTACCAACACCTTTGGCAAAATTAATTATTTTCAAAACCTGGTCTAGTTTTTGCACCACCACTACTCCAACCCTCTTCTAGCTCTCTGTTAGTTTAAGCACTTTTAAGAGGGGTAAACTGTGTTTTATTCTGGGGCACGGTTTGAATGATCTAGTAAGCGATAGTATTGATGACCTCTTGGCTTTATTGACTATTTGCTTCATGTTAATCTGTAAGTGAAAAACACCTATTTGTTTCAGTGTGTGGAATTAGGTATTTACTCTTATTTCTGCAAACACTAAGCAGTCCTTTAGTCAAAGGACTGTATCCACCACAGCTACAATACATACAATACAGTTTTTTATTACATTTTTGGATTATGTTTTGTGTTATCTGATGGAACTCAGAATGGCTCAGTGAGCTGAATTGAAAACAGCATTTTGTTACAGACACTGAACTAATTTTATTTAGAACGGTATTAGGTCTGATGTATAGAAATGCAGTTCTTTTAAAATGTTATTTTTTGTCATTTTCTTTCCATTTGTGTTTCAGTGAAAATCTCAAAGGGAACTCAAATATAGGCTAATAATAACTAATAATGTATGTGATGCTATGAAAGTTGAGAATTACTTAGTCAATGACTCTTCTTAAGATGGTTAAGGAAGGTTTTTTTTTATCTATCATTATTTGAAATCTTTTGTGTCATACACTTGGTGTCATGTAATTTGAATGGAAGATGAAAGACAGATACCGTCTCTCCAGTTCTTACTTTAAAACTGAACGAAAAGAACCAAAATTATATACATTTATGGCACTTTCCAGCCCACTATTTCAGCATTAGGACAAGTTTTTTTTCCTTTCTTGATCCATTTATGCACTTTATGAAAGGCATGAGGACTATTAACACTTAGCAAATCAAAAGGGCATTTTTGTCACAATGCTGTAATATTCTCTTAAAAATAGTTCTTATTCGCAGCATAATATAAATAATGTAGGTACTGACAGACATCACTAACATGCTTGCATGTGTAGCACAGTCTGTAGACATAAAAAATCTTTGAAAAATAGATGTAGTACCAGTCAAAAGTTTGGACATGCCTACTCATAGGAGAGTTTTTGTTCTATTTTTCCAGATTCCAGCAGTCTGTAAGAAGTTCCTGGACATGCATACTTGGAGGACATTTAAAACTATTTTTATTACATTTTTTTAAATAAACTAATTTCTAAGCATCAGCTTCACGGTTTATATTAAATTAAAAAAAACTTTCAAGTACTTGAGCATAACCCTTTAGTTAAAAATGTCAAATGTCATGCATTCAATCAGGTATCTACACTTTTGACTGGTACTGTATGTAACATGGATATGTAAATAAATACATTTACATATCTGCCATCTGCCATTCTCACATACATATTCAAGACGATTTGATGCTTTCACCACTGAGGTATAAGGACATGACATCATACAAGTGCATCATACAAGCGCACACAGTCATACACCCACTGGCTTACCAAATAACCCACAGTCAAACCTAACAGCCATGGCCTCTGGGACATTCTGCTCCTTTTCTTCTCTCATCTTAAGGTGCTTAGGAACATCAGGACAAACTTTTCTGACTTCTAACTGGCAGGAATGAAACCAGGAATCTGTACGTGTAACCACTTTTACTGTAAAATAGCAAACTGTACAAAGGCAGAGATTTTACATGCTCAAGTATCATTTCAGAAGGACAGTGGACACTTTCTGTACTACACAGAGATTTGTACTGGGGTGCAGCTCAGACACCTGTAAACCACAGACTCTGTACAGATGAAGATATGTACTGTACTGTAATGTCCCTTGCTGTTCTCTGTCACATGAGTATGAATAACTGCTGTCAGTCATGATTTCGAGACGCCCTCGGCTGGTCGAATGGGAATTTAAAGTGTAACTGATTCATTGTAAATAGCTTGCTCTGTTTCTGTTCCTTTGTTAACACTTTGTGGGGTCTGCATTCAGTTCTGTTCTGTTCTAGCTTCTTTTGATGTTTAAGAGCAGAAACTTGCATGAAAAATCCAAGCACTGTGGGAGATGGAAAGAAACTATGTTGTAATAACTCACCCATGTAGAATCAGGATTTTATTCAACCATTATTCTTCATGGCGTGTGTGTGGGTGTGTGTGAGTGTGTGTACACCTGAGATTTTATGTGAGCATGCTTGTGTGCATGTGTGCGGATGTTCAGATGTTCAGATGTTCATGCGTGTCATTTTTGGTCGTGGAGGGACAACAATTATGTGACTGTGAGTACACAGCTGAATGGCATTACTTTTCTAATTATGTTTTTCACTGTGTTTATCCCAAAATCAGTTACACTACTATGAATGGCAGTGTTTGGTAGCTATTCTCATAGTGAGGTGGAATGTGTGGCTTTAGGTTCAAGCACAAACCAGAGGATGAGCGTTTATGTGGAAATATTCAGGGAAACAGTGCTTTCCAACTGTAAAGGGGTTTACTGTATATTCACTAAGGTACTTAGGGTATAGTAAACACAGACTTTTATGAAAAATTGCTTTGTTTGCTAATGGCTGCCTGCTGTGAACAAGAACGGGAATATGAGAGAATGGCTGGGTAGAGGACTGCGTCTGATAGGTACACTTTTCTCACTATGCAAGCAGCTGTTCCACAGTCACAGCCCACAGTGCACACACACATACTCACACACACATTCACACCTACAGCCTGACAAAAGCACTCAAGAGGGGAAAAAACACCCATTTGGGGAACAGGCCTAATGTAGATTGGGAACATTCATAACCATGACCAGAGAATGCACTCCTCTCTTGTGTTGGTATATACTTTTGGTAAGTTTCAATTAATAATAATTACAGTAATAATGACAATGTCATGTTATAGTTAAAAAGGGGTTGATTTTGTGATACTTTAACGTCATGTATGAATATTAATGGAACAACGTCATGATTATGCAACCCTGTTCCCATTAACTTTCACCTGTTTGATTTTGTACATTGGTTAATTACTGTTTTATATTTAAATGGCAAAAAAAGAATAAAAAGCTTTTATTTTGCAGCACTGATGCGTTCAGGCTTTACTGTGTGCTGGCATTCTACTTCACCAACACCAACACCATTCATAATTTTATTGATTTGTTGGTTAAAAAACGAACATCTGCATTTTGATATGTTTAATCAGCCTGTATGTCTGATGATTAAAGCTCATTCATTACTGTAAAGTCCTGTCCGTGGTAGACACAGTGACCAATCACAAAGCTCAGAGGGGGTGACGTCACATATCCTTCGAGTGGGAGGTGCATTACAACAGAAAACAAGCCAGCTTTTTTCAATGGAAACCGCCCTGGTTTATTTATAACATTTGTTGGCGTTTTAACTGTTGAATTTCGAAAAACGGACGTCCACGTTGCATCCGCGGCTGTTTGAAGAAGCTGTTCAAGCGGTTTAAAGGTACGTGTTGGCTTAATTCGGCTGTAGCTGCAGCGCTTGTGCTGCTGTATGCGGGAGAGCTGTCGGCCATGGCGCCCGTCCGCCCGGTTATGGTTATGGTCGCCTCGTCGTCGTTGTCGTCGGAGGGGAAGGTGGTTCAATGGCTCCCCGTATCGCTGACGTGTTTTGACGCGGGTACTTGCGTGCCAGTGACTAGCCAGAAACTTTCGTCGAGCGTCGCATAAGTCGCCCGTTGACTTATAAACGTTGTACAATCTGACAGCACAAAGCGGAGATGGGAAGCGTTAGCGCCCATAAGCGTGAGGTTCAGCTGAAGTAGCAGCCGTGTGGGTTGCTAATGTTGAAATGAATTTTGCCTTGAATATTAACCTCCGAAATTATGAAACAACACACAGCGCTGTCTCTGCAATTCCGCTGCAGCTTGTTAGCTAAATATCCGCCTGTTCATGTTGGAACCAAGTTAATCGAAACGGGTCCAGATATGAAGTGTGTTCAAAAACATTGCTAAAAACAGTCAGACGAATGTTAATTAGACGCACTTGGACTGAAGCGGAGTTTTCAGTTAACGTTACTTAACTTTAGCTAGCTGGCTAGGTTAGCTAATGTTAGCTTCTTCTCATTATTCTTTGCTTTAACCCACTTGGTAAAGCTAGCTTAGCTAAGCTAACAAGTCATTTATGAGCCTTATTAGCATTTACGTTAGCTACCTCTAATAAGAACAATAAACAGGGTCGGACAGCTTAACAGAGTGGCTAAGTTAGTAACGTATAAAGTTAACTTAGCCGTGAGAGATTGTTCAGCGATGGGCGTTTCTTAACTTCTGGTGCTTTCCATTTGGTGTGGTTGGTGTTTTCCACCGCTAGCGCTTGTTATAAATGAACATATAGTTAGGTGTTTTGAGTAGGAATCGCAAGCTAATAATAATGTACCTCTCAGTCGTGAAAATCAGTCGAAATTTGTCTTAGAGAAATGTCCGTTGAAGTAATAAAACCGTGGACAGCTATTAAAGGACTTGTACACTGGAAGCCTTCAAGCGGTTAATAATAACAGAGGGAACAGGTCTCTAGGGAGATGGACAACACCTTGGGCTATTGCCACAAAATTTTAAACTGTAATTGCCCAGAGCATTCAAAAGTGGTAGATTCGCCCAGTCCGTTCAGCTGGTACCTGAAAAAAAGCACCTAGCCCACTCAGGGCCTTGTTGTGTTAATGGTATTACTAAATCTACTGAAGAACATGGAAACACTGCTTCTGTTTTTAATCTGGAGATAGGATAGTGGGTGCTAGGCAGCCCACGTTTTATCCCTTCAACAGATTTTTATCGCCATCAGCAGTGACACAGGGTCTGACTGGCCACTGTGCAGTATTGAGATTTGGGAGTGTATGAGCAATGCGCTCACTGTGTGAGTCAGAGTGTGAGTGAAGTCTGTTCCGGCACTGTGAGAGAAGTAGATTCAGTGCTGGAGGGACTGAGTGGAAATACTGACTAAAACTATGCTCTTAAGGCAGAAGAACTGTGCTACCATCCCACTGTGAGTGCACAAACACTCTCATCACCCTGTACAGAAAATGAATCAAAAACCTGCCCTGTTTTTGTGTCGCTGAATATGAACATCTAGACACTCTTTTAAAGTGTTTGGTGAAACTGCTAATGGACTGTGATCATGTTTACATTTGCAGTGGCAATGGAGGACGTTCACCAGAACAGCACTAATGGCACTGAGTCACAAACTGTTACCATCCCTACAACTATTACAGCTTCTCAGTTATCACAATTACAACAGGTATTTTGTGTGCATGTACATGAGTAAGAAGCATAGTTGATGCTCTGGTTATCCTTTGATAATGGCTGTTAGTATTTGATCATTTTATTATTATTATTATTTTTAAATTATGTGAAGTTGTTAACTTGTGGAGCGCATTAATGCTTGTGCTGTGTGCAATGAATTACTCAGATGTCTCTGGGAGGTTCTCCAGTCACTGTGTTGCAGCTGCCTAGTGGTCAAATTCAGGTTCAAGGAGTGATCCAATCTGCCCAGTCATCAGTTATTCAGTCACCACCAGCACAACCACAGGTAACTTACAGGGTCTTCCTTGTCTCCACAGATGCTGGCAGTTAATGATATAAATCCGTATTCCAGTAAATGGGATCAGAAAATTCCCTTCATGAAACCACATTGTGAAGAATTTCAGATGGACACTGGCATAAACAGGAGTTATCTTTCTTTGGATGACAAGATGGAATACCGTTTGAAGTTAAATTAGAATAAATTTAAAAATCAATATGACAGGCCTGTAACAGCTTTGTATTCAGACTAAAACTGCAGCAGTGGTACATTTGAATCAGTTTGTTTTCATCATGATACGTTAAAAGTGCACTTTGCTGTGTAAAAACTGGATGTCTACAATGGGACACACATCTAAATATTCCAGAACCCTAAAGACTGTTTAGACATGCTGATGGGACTAAAAGTTGAATTTCCATAAAAATCTTACAGAACAGAAGAGAGGCTAATTATCTCTCAGGCTGCACACAGCATGCATACTTTCAGTTGCAAAACACAAATATTATAATATTTGTATTATAAATATTATAAACAAAAATATTGTTTCATGCTTATGTCCCACTAAATGAAGAAAAACTGAGAAAATGCCTTTTACTCTTCTTGCAGTCCATAACATATGATGTAATTATCAGCATTTTAAGGAACTGGCAGTAAGTAGCCAGAACACCAATAACAGCATCTCTGTGTTTCTAAAATATGATCCTATATCCAATATCAACATTATTTTGAATGTACACACACTTCTGGAGTCCAACATGGTAGGCCTTGAGTCTGGTGTCTTCACATGCTGATAGTGAGATACCTTATCTACATGTTGTTTGTGTGTGCATGGTAGTTGTGTTTTGGAGTATGATGTCATTATGCCAGGTTGTGCAATATGTGTGAGTTTGACACCATACTGATATGCTAGAATTAGTCAGCAGTTGGGGTTTTTAATGCGGTTAGCCAGACAATGAACTATCTACTATTTAAACCTCTACTTGTAATGTACAGTCTGCAGCAGTGTTTATTAACAGGAGTGTGTACATCCATCTTCCCAGGGTCATCGGTCTGACAGTGAAGATTCTCAGGACTCAACAGACAGTGGAGCTTCTAACCAGAAAACAAGGGAAATTCTGGCCAGGCGCCCATCTTACAGGTTCATATGCACATCCACATGGACTCTCATGACAGAGTATCTGTCAGGAAGATTCACTACCCACATTTTGATTTGATGAACATTAAACAAATTTAGTGCTATCTATAGACAATAGGTAGCCAGAGGCAGACATGGCATGGTGCATGGAGTGTCATATATCGCATTTACCTGCATTGCTTGTACATTTTGTCCTCTCTGTGTGTTTTTTGTTTGTACCTGCTTATTGCTGTCTGTTTCATTATCCTTTCCTAAATGTACACACAATTGTCTTTCTCCATTTGTGAGTTGTTTAATGTAGTAATTGATTGTTCATGTCATGGTAATTGATTGTTCAAGTCATTGACTAGTACACAAGTAAGTACTGCATACCCCAGCATACGTTTTGCAAGGAGGATGTTAAATGCTTTCCATACACCTTGAGCATTAGTTCATTAAAAAGCTGACAAGTCGTAACTAACAGAAACTTTCCCTCAGGCTCACTAAAACACTGAACAGTTGCATTCACAGTACAGGAAGTTATGCACAATGCTTTGCTGGCTAGCACCCTTTTTGGTCCTCCAACCTTCCAAAAATAAACTTTTGTCCATCAGAGGACAACATGTGTTTGTATTTTCCAAATACATGGATTTCTGCATTCAGTTCTAATGCACATGACACGTATGGCACAGAGCTGCAGTGCCATCTCCTGAATGAAAACTAATACTCTGCTTAAACTCCTTTTCTCCTAATTGTTCCCAAAATTTATACTAAAACCTTTTGTTCTTTTTATGTTGCAGGAAGATTTTAAATGACCTCTCAGGTGAAGAGGTTGTGAGTCGTAATGAAGGAGAAGAGGAGACTTCTGCTTCGTCTGCTATGACAACAGTGTCTCTCCCCACACCAATCTATCAGACTAGCAGCGGACAGTACAGTAAGACCTGTATTATTTATATCAGGGCCGGCCAAAATGTGGCTCGGGGGTGAAAGCTGGCCTGTGAGGATGTTTGATTTGGCCCACCATAAAGTTACCCAGACCCCACCCTCACCCAGTGAAAACTAAACATACTTTTATATAGTGTATAATTTATTCAGGTCTTAATTTCTTTTTAAAATTGTATTTTTTTTAAATATCTAGTGACAAAATGCATTGTGTTGATATATTAAAATGTAAATTTTGACATATCGACCTTTTTTATTTATATGTTTGTATTTGGCCCTCTGCCGACCATAAACATTGCATTTGGGCCCCTCCAAGACAAAAGTTTGGACACCCTTGCTTAATATAGTTAGAAACATTGTACAGACCTGTATATGTTACTCGTAAAACATTATTATTTTTAATTTTCTTCATTTGGTGTGTCCATTCTTTGCATAAAGTAGAGCTTTATAATCAGGCCTGAAATGTTGGTACAAACCTGATAATAGCCGGAGAATTTACTGTCCGACTCCGACTGGAACCACAGCAGCAAGGGGACCCAACCTGAGCCCACATAAATCTGTCCAAAACCAACCTGTTCTCAACATCAGGTTTTTATTCCAAAACTGACCTGAGTGCACAATTTTGTCTGAAGCTGACCTGAACCAGCTGAATAAAATCTAATTTTTCTAGACAGTGCCAGTTATTGTGCAGTGACAAAAATAGCAGTCGTTAGATCATGGACAAACAAAATTTTAATAATCAGAAATAATCAGCGGTGCAGAATTAAAATTTTAATACTGCTTTAAGGATTGTATTCATCAAGCAATGCTGTTCTCATGTGCAGTGCTAATATAGCAGGATGTTGGCCTTCATCTGTTTAATCTTTAGGCTTCTTTATCTAGAACATGTTGCATATAACAGACACATTGAACATACAATATATATAAAATATACATTACTAACAAATGAAATGTCCTTTTGGATACACTAATATGTACTTTCCCGAATTGGTTTTTTCTCACATTTTCTCACATTTCTCACAAACATGAGCTTTCGACAGAAGTGACTCCAGCATGCCAGATTTAAATGTTATGAGGTATTGAAAGTAGGGATAAAAAATAAAGTAAGTAGAAGTATGAGTCATGCTGTAAGAACCCAAACGTGAAATGTGAATTATACTTGAGCCTGACACATATTTGGGAAGTGACGTCCAGTTTGGACCAAAATTTCAAAGCTCTGGTATGAAGCCATTGCTTGTTGCATGAGTTGTCAAAGATGCTGTATTTGCTATCATATTTTTAAAAAAGGAATACATAAGTGACTCTTAACAACGTGTTTGTTGCCAATTTTACAGTTGCGATTGCATCAAACGGCTCTCTGCAGTTGGCTAGTGCTGCTGCTGAGGGTGTACAGGGCCTGCAGACACTCACTATGACCAATTCCAACCCTAGCCAGCCTACTATACTACAGTATGCACAGACTGCTGATGGACAACAGATATTGCTTCCCAGCAACCAGGTGGTGCTACAAGGTTAGTGTACACACACACAGACACACAACGATAATGCTGCCAAGCAACCAGCTGGTGTTAGCTCAGTTGAGTATACCAGCAAATTCAGGGTGCATTGGTTTGCTGTACTTTAAGTCCTTAAATCATAGTCATATGCAACAGCTCCATATGAGGGTTTTAAATGTGAAAATAAGGTAACATATCCTCTACAGATAACTAACTTCAGTATGGCATTAGTCTGTAAATTTTAGTGCAGAATTTCTATTAATTTGCTGAGTTCAGCATGTTGGAAAAGAGTAAAATATAAAATACACAGGCCACATTTTTTTGTTTGTTTTTGGAATTACATTCCACAAGTAAACAGTAACTGCATTAAAATATGCTGAAGTTTTTACGTGATTTGATCTGGGTCAGATAAACGTTTGCATGCTGTTTTATACTGGAATGATGTTTTGCTAAGACTGAAATGGCCTATCAGAATTCTTTCTGTCTGTCTTTATCTCTCATGCATGCAGACACACATTCATTCATTGTGTAACGTTATGTTGTAGGTGCAGGGGGTGAAATGCAGGCCTATCAGATTCGCTCATCATCTTCAGCGCTGCCTCAGACCGTAGTCATGACGTCACCGGTCATTAGCTCTCAGGGCAAGTCGGACGACCCTCAGTTAAAGCGAGAGATCCGCCTAGCTAAAAACAGGTGTGTATGTGTGGATGTTTATTGTATGATCATGACTGTAGTTATGAGCTCAGTGTTTGATGGGACAACGTGCTTACCTGTCATCTCACCATATCCGTCCTTAAATGACCCGTTATTGAATCTGTGCTCGTGTGTAGGGAGGCAGCTCGTGAGTGTCGCAGAAAGAAAAAGGAGTATGTGAAGTGCTTGGAGAACCGTGTGGCTGTGCTGGAGAATCAAAATAAAACGCTGATCGAGGAGCTCAAGACGTTAAAGGACCTTTACTGCGTCAAAACGGGCTAGCACAGCTGCACCGAGACAGTGCTAAGCGGACAGTACTTGCAGCTCTGCCTATACACACACACATAAACACACAATTCTGGGCCACAAGGAATTGGACAATTCCTTGTTTTTATACTACTCATTTTTAACTAACATCTTAGGATTGGCAGGCCAAAGAGAGAAACGAAATACGTGTTTATGGATGTGGAGGAATGAATTGTGTATTCTTTTTCCTTTACATGTTTTTAATAACAAGATGAGCAGATGTGTATATTTGTGTATGTAACGTGTGTGTGTGTGTGTGTGTGTGTGTGTGTGTGTGTCTATGTATGTATGGATGCACACCAACACCGGGAATGTTTGCTTTACCAGTGACCTGTTCATTTACCAGGGAATATCTGTGTTTTTGTTTTTCCAGAAGTGCTTGCTGAAACAATAAAAAAGAAAAAGAAAAATAGAAATAAAAAAATAGTGCAGATAAGCACCTGCCATTTATACCCTGCCTCTCAGATGCAGCTGAACTATTTTTGAATATTGTGAAATGATTGTGTTTTTCATGGAGTCGTTTTCTTTCTTTTTGATTATTTACTTTCCTTCCCCATTTGACCAAATGTTCCAGTATTCTTATCATGCTCAAATTTATCATAATGGGTTCAAGGGAATGGTTGACAACACAGCAGGGAATCAAGAAACTGACAAGCAGAGCATCATCTAAAATGTGTAGGATTTTGTCAGTTATGATAAAAACTTAAATAGCTTTGTTTTCATTAATCTATTTCTAATTTTGATATGTTCTTGTCATTGTGTTTTTTTTAAGATTTTCATCAAGCCCAGTGTGGGACTGAAAAGATTTTTAACAAAGAATCTTAAATCAGTTCAGATCTTTGCTTAGTGTGTCTGAGGAAATACTCCTTAAAACAAATTCTATATTTAAAAAAAAAAGCACCAGAAGTCCACTGCTGGCTTTTGAATTGTGTTCGAAATTTACTTAAGAACTTGATTGGATTCATTGGAAACATTAAAATGACTAATTACATTTATAGCGGTTGCTTCTTGTTTTAGAGCCGATTTCCAGTCACATCAACCTTAGAAAACAGAAAAAAATGCTATCATGTATCTCTGTATTGTTCCCAACACGACAGATTCACTGCCCAGATGGTAAAAGATGATTAAGCTGACTCTTGACACAGCAGTGATTTGACTGTGGAATTGAACAACTCAATACTTGTTTACTCTTACAAAGTGCACCTTTGAAGCAGGGGTAAAGCCCAGGGCTGGGAGGGTTTTTTTTTTGTTTATTTCTTTTGGCTAAAGCTGTTACTGGGACAGTTGAATCAGGGAGCACACCTGCACTTGAAAATGCAGGTGACATTGTTTAAGAAAAAGGAAAAAATGAAATCAATTGTTATTAAGTAAATCTAAATAAATATTTTTCCAACCTCTGTATACTTTGTGGGGTTTGTTTTTGTTAGTTTGTGTATTTCTTTATTTATTTACATAACTACCTGCGCCCTGTAAAAAATACAAACTGCCAGTCTGTGCCTAACCAGTGAAAAGCCTGTTGCGTTTTGTCCTCTGTACATTTGCCTGAATATCTCAGTGAATTCTGAGGTTGTAACATACAAGCTCAATTCCAAAAACGTTGGGACAGTATGGCTGCGTCCAAAAACCGCATACTACTTTAATAAATAGTAGGGCTGCACGATATTAACATAAAATGCAATGTTTCATAAAGCTGTTGGATATCATGATGATGGTAGGAGAAGTGATAAATTACTATTAAAAATGGCTGGATGTAATACAAGTGCAGACATTTTTTTTGGGATATGTAAACAAAACTCTGACCTCTCTTTAAACAAATACCAAAATACAAAATTATAAAAGCATCACTTACTGCAAAATAAAAAGAAATAAAATACTAACAACTACTTACATCAGAGCTGTAAGCACATTTTTTGTGGAGTGAAAGGCTGAGAAACAGCATTACCTCAACAGCTTTTCCTATGAAGGCTACAAAACCAAATAAATATATATATATTTATTTTTATATAGGCACACAAGAACAAAGACATCCTTGTTTCCATTTATTTTATTTTTTTTTGCCTCTCTCAGGCCTCTGTGTTTTCTGTATTTTACAGAAGATATTTGCAGAAGGCCACTATCTGCCGATCTAAGATCACGTGCTGGAACATAGACAGACACTTTGTGATGTAAGCAGGTGCTTTAAGGTCATTTAGAGCTTTAAAAACTAAACTAACTCTATCCTGAATCAGGTAGCCACTGCAGTTCTTTTAAAACAGTGATATGATCTCTTTTGATGCATTTTGTACGAATTGTTTAGCTTTATTAGGAAGTCCAGTAAGAAGAGCATCACAGTGATCAACTCTGCTTGTAACAAATGCATGAACAAGTTTCTCTGCATCGCTCTGAGATAGAAGATAGATTATTTAGCGATATTTCTCAAATGATAAAAAGCTAATTTAGTGACTGCATTTGCATGCAAGATAAAACCTGCAAAGACACCCAGGTTTCGTACTTCAGGTTTGGTATATGAAGCTAAAGAACCAAGTTTCTCTGAATATGGCACAATTAGTAATCATACATAAAAGTAAATGAATAAGAAGGTGACATTTTTGAGGGATTTATTCATGAGGTTAAATAAATAAGTCAAAGTTTATTTGTATAGCACTTTTTACAACAGGCGTTGTCACAAAGCAGCTTTACAGAAAAATCCGGGTCCAAGTCCCCATGAGCAAGCCGATGGCGACAATGGCAAGGGAAAAACTCCCCAAGAGCAAGAGGAATAAACCTTGAGAGGAACCAAGACTCAAAAGGGGAAACCATCCTCCTCTGGCCGACACCGGATAGTAAACAATAACAGCAGAGAATAACAGATTTCAAACAGAGAACTCTGTCCCTGTTAGGAAGCTGAAATTTCAGGTGGACGCTGATGACATTATTCACATCGGGCCAGAAAAATGACGTCCTAGATCGAGATCCAGTCTTCCGCTGTAAGGAATTTTATTCTAGCGCAAGCTGATTTAATACTTAAAAAATAAAAATAGTGGACACAGGAAAATAAATTGGAAGCTGAAATTCTATGTACATTTCAGAAAAATAAAAATGTAAAAACTTCAAAAGAGAGCCTGCATCCCACTCTTAATTTTAGTTACAACTAAAAATAACTGGCAACATGGTATACTGAGCAATAGCGTCTTTAGATTAATAAAGGTTTTAATTTCTAGATTTTTTTCTTCAGTCTCATACTTTAAAGTACTTGCAACGAAATTATGTAGTAGAAATAAATCAAAGGAACATCATGTATCTGCAGAATTAAATATTTTATTACACTATATGGACAAAAGTATTGGGACACCTACACATTACACCCACAGAAGCTTTTATGACATCCCATTCTAAATCCACGGGCATTAATATGGAGTTGGTCCCCCTTTTGCAGCAACAGCAGCTTCCACTCTTCTGGTAAGCTTTCTATAAGATTTTGGAGTGTGTCAGTGGGGATTTTTGCTCATTCATCCAGAAGAGCATTTATGATGTCAGACTCTGATGTTGAACGAAAGGAACTGGCTCACAATCTCTGTTCTAGTTATTCGATGGGGTTGAGGTTGGGGTTCTGTTGAGGTTTGTGGGCCAGTCAAGTTCTTCCACATCAAACTCACCAAGGCATGCCTTTATAGACCTTGCTTTGTGCTCCTGAGCAAAGTCATGCTGTAACAGAAAAGGGCCTTCAACAAACTGTTCCCACAAAATTGATTAGGAAGTGTGTCCCAATACTTTTGTCGATATAGTGTATCCTAGAGTCATATTCTCTATATTCACAATGGTATGGCAAATGTCCCAACTGAAAAAAAAACAACAGAAACCATTAAGTGTTTCTGTTGATTCCTGATGGTTTTGTAATGTGTTTTGGCGTCTATTAACAGGTTGATACCACAATGTAAAGGATCCTGACGGTTTAACAGGTGACTAGCGGCTGATTCTAAATGCCTGTGATGGTTTCCTAATGGGATCCAAAGATGTTGTACAGAAAACTTGTGGTCTCTATTGGAAACCATTAAGCCAATTTCCATTAGAAAGCAAAACCCTTAGGTTTCAATCCTAATGGTTTCTAACAGTCCTTCTTCAGCATGGACAGTACACATTCTTAATTCCTTCAACATTAGTTCTCCATTATTAGAGGCTGTGAAAGTGGAAACTGCGCAGAAAATGTGATTGTGAACACTCCGTTCGCTGAATGAGAAGCGGCCAACAAAAAGCTAACTTCAGCCGGCAAATAAGGAGCCAAACGAATAAGTAACTAATTTCAGCCTCATGTAAAAAAAAGTATGTCAGGCAAGTTGATTGTATGGTTTAACACGTCCTCAGCAGCAGCTCTGCTATAACACATCTCTGGTATAACATGTCCTCAGCAGCGGCGGTCTGTGGAGGAGCCTCCTCTGCAGCTAGTGCCAAATGATCCAGCCTATCAGGATTCAGAAGTACATCAACGTCATAACTTCTGACTCCCGATCAGCCGTGAGGCTCAAGTCTGCAGTATCTAAACATTGGATGAGAGCTGAGGAAGGCAGCTATTGAGGTTAATAAAAAGAGGAGGCATAAAAAGACTGATGTTAAATGAATCAAACTTGCAGCTTGCAGTATTGTTGCAACTGTGAAGATATTCAACATGACTCATTTTACTGTGTTTTCTACCATGAAAACACAACTGAAGTGCACAAATTAGCTAACAATGTCTCTACCCCCTCTGCCGCTGCTCCGATGTGCAGTTCAGCTTAAAATTCAGCTGTGGCTAGTAAAGTTAGCTTGCTTTCGCCTGTTTTATTTTAACTAAGAGCTCTGTTTTGGGTTTAGCTGTAAGTTAGATTTGCCTTCTTCGCTGATTGCCAGCTTCGCTAAGCTAATGCTCCATTTTTTTTTTTACTTGCAGTTAGTACTTTCACCTCAGATTCTCAGTTCTCACTGAATATTTTAATAGTGCGACTTTGAGGGTTTTCAGGAGAAACGTAGCTAAACAATTCAAGGTTACGGTCCACAACTCGGCTTTACTGAAGAATTCACCAGAAAACACAACAAAACCAGCAGAACAGGCGCGCACTCACTGTTGATCCTCAGTGGCCAAACTGTTAGCTCGCTAAGCTAAAAACACAGACTTCCTTAGCTAGAAGCTAAAAACACACCTAGCTTTCCTCCCTCACCACTCCACCCATTTTAGCGCTCTTCAAAATGAAAGTCATTGTCTAACTTCAAACACCCCAGCATAAACATTTCTCTTTTTTTACATTAACTATATACTGTAGCGTGGCGATGCCACAATATGATTCAAGGCAAAAATTAATTACATATTAATTAATATTAATTAAAAATTAATATTCTTTAAAATGTTCTAAGAAGAAAATTAGTCAGTTCTTTGTTGTTTGGACAAATCATTACAGTGTATGTACAATTAATAAATTAACAGGTTTATGAAAAAGTGTGTTTTTTTCCTCTTTGCCTCCACCCATAAAAATATACAAAGGGCCAGTAAAACTGATCTACTGGCCCAGGGGGCCACTGGGAGAAAAATGTTACATTGGACACTGACACATGGCTTTACAAGTTCATTTGTTACCAAATCATATCACAGAAGTAAAACATATTTGATACAAAAATATGTGTTAATCCACTGTGTCACCGGTCCAACTGTGCCGTCATTATTTCATAGCATAACCCAAGATATGTGGTCTGATGAGAAAGAAAAGTGGTGCCTGGAAGTGGCGAAGCTGCAAGTCGGAGAAACCAGCTGCCTCTATGTGCTTCCAGGTGGCACGAGTAGTCTCACAGCCATCGCCGATATAGTACCTACAACACACAACCAAAAGAGGCATCTCATCCACACATTCACACCCAGATGCTACAGTAATTTCATGTTCTAAGAAAAGTAGTAAATCAAACTCAGTACAAATATTGGGATAGTGTATTGTTTGTTCAGAGACATGGCAAAAGTCTCTCTTATAGGCTTGCCAGGGGTTAAACTGGGATCTAGAGGTAGGGAAGTTACATCTTTTATGGGTGCCAACAATGTAGAACATAAGTGCTCAATCTTAACCGCAAAGGGCTGGTCTGCATTGTAACCAAGGAAAAGCTCACCTATTTGTGTTTAATTAGATGGTCTCAGCCTTTAAACAGTTGATCTTGTGTGCTCCTGCTTAGCTGGAACAAAAACCTGCAGCCACACTGACCTTTGTGGATAAGACTGTGTATTATACTATGTGATGGAAATGTGATTAAAGCTACTTGCCTTTCACAAAAACCAAAGACATGTTCTGGCCCAATATGGCCCCTACTATAGCCTAATGTCAGAGCTGCTGTAAAATATAATTAAATGTTTAAGCAGCTGCAAGTGGTGCAAAGTAAATACTTCCTGTGTAGGTATTGTCTGAAGCCATCTAAGAGAATGAGACTTTAAAGACTGTAATGGAATGCTATAGGCTGCATTTCTGTATGGTTTGTGTGTTTGTATGTGTGTGTGTGTGTGTGTGTGTGTGTGTGTGTGTGTGTGTACATTAAAGGCTTGAAAACATGCTGAAAGAAGTATGTCCAGGTCGAGGGGTCAGCCTCCACATGCTCCAAGAAGAAGAATGCTCCACCCTGTAAAACAAAATGTTTTAGTTACAGTGCTCTGCTGTGTATTCATTAGCCTAATGTATTTGTAATATGGGGAACACTTGTTCAGAGAAATACTGTAAGATGGAATAGGAAAGCTGTCCCTTGTACACTGATCAACACTCAGTAAGTTGCTCGCTGCCTTTTTAGGGTCTTACTCTTATCTCCAACCTGGACTAAGTTCATAACAAACAAGCTGTGTACAGCACTGATCTCCCAGATGAGATGTAAAATCCCCAAGTTTTGAGCTTATATATAGGCAACATAAACAAATATTGGTAAAAAAAAGTTAATCTAATTTTACTAATGCAGCCATGTGTTTTTTGGAATCAGGTAGGATTACGTAGCAAGCAGAATGGCTGGAACTAAGATGCAGTGTTACTAAACCTGAAAATGGATTCTTGAGGCTTTTTGTCTTAAACACTGAATTCACATGTACATTTTACAACCTTTACTGATCAAACTTTACCCTCAATCTCTATGTTTACATGTACATTAATATCCCAGTATGAATCTGATGAAGTCAGTTAGTTCAAACAGTGATTTGATGATTTGTAGGTGAATGAGGCCAGAGTAAACATTGTCTGATTTAAATGTGATCCAAACTGATATTAATGGGCAATTTGAAGATAAATGTAGCCCCCAATTGTAGAGGTGTAACTACCTGCAGTGCTGGTGGGTTCATCGCGCTGGGTCTTGAATGGGAGAGTTGGTGGAGTGACTGAACCCCTAATGTCTATACTGGACCCCTGACATCACTACTTATGTAATTTTATATCTATGACTTTTAATAATAACTTAATAAAATACTTCACACTGGAGGTGGGTGATATGGCAAAGATATAATATTGCAATACTTATAGAAATTTTCATGATACACAATATGTAACAATATTTATTTTTTCAGACATCTGATCACGTAGAACAGAGAAAGAAGAAACAGCAGTGCTACATTTACTACCAAAAACTGAATACAATGATTTTTATTCAATATTTGGCATATTGTGTTGCACTAAATTTAGTTAAACGGGATAAATTTTGCTCTCTTTATAATGAAACAGGCAGCTGGTCATTCTTCTACAAGCACTGACAATAAGCATGGTATGTTCAGAAAGCATATTCTATTGTATTGTGACATAATATCACAATAACAATATACATTTTCATATTTCCCAGCCCTATCTCAAACAGCAGCCTACCCTACAGCACCAACTTGGTTCAAATAGCAATAGAGAGCAAAAAACAAATTTTCATCTTTTTTTGCACTGGGGCCCATAAGATCCTAGAAAGTATAACGCATATATACGTGTGCCAATACATACTGCATGTTGTCTATATGTATAGGCACTGTGCCAGAGTGCATGTAAACATGTTGCACTGAATTGCGACCATCAAGTTGTGTTATCATAGAGGGCACCATTTTGCAGTTTCTGTTCACACGAGCACTTTACAAAGACTATGTAAGCTACGCCAACGCGCATTCATTTCTCGTTCTGCTGCATTTAGCAAGCCTAATGATGAGTAATGTGTGTGTTTTACATTTTACATTGTCTAGAAGTACATAAATATAAGAATGTTTCATTACAAATTTTCTACACATTTAAAAGTCACATCAGGAAGGTCAATATCTACCCCAGACAAAAGCTTCTTTGCCTAAAGAAAGCAAAATGTCAGGCACAATAACACATTTTTGTAGAATATTAAGACACACACTATACAAGTATCAAGTAACAGTCAGAGTAATATGTTTAATTTTGTTCATCACACATAATACTTTCATATTGCAAAGCTGCTGGAAGAATTATATCACACCCCTGCCTGTTCTGTTGTGCTAAACAGATAAATTGTACCATTTCTAGGCTGTTTTTACTCAGGCTTCATTCGGACAGTGGTCATCATGGCTTTCTGGATAACAATTTGAAAGATGGTTATTCTCCTATAAGGTTTTGGTTGTTTTATCATTGTTTACTGTTATTATGGAGTCACATTGGGGTGATTCATTCTCATGGTAAATTGCCTATGCCAGGTCCTGTCTTTAAACCTTAATTAGGTTATATTGGCTATAAATGAGAATGATGTAGTGACTGGGTTGCACAGGTAAGTCCTGACACCAAAGTCATCAGTTATCACAGCTACATTCAGAATGTGTGACCCCACTGCATCTCCACAAAAATACTGAAAATCCTTGTGATATTGGCATGGGGGTCACCAATTCTGACAGCTGCTATCAATATGTGACTTCATCTCCACAAAACATATAAAAAGACCAACCAGAGTTTTCTGGTGACTTACCATTCCACCATTTCAGTCAGCATTAATGACTGGAGAAGACAGAGGGGCCACAACATAGGGGTAACCAGAATGTGTGACTGCGCTGCATCTCCACAAAAAAATTGTGAAAAATTAACCAAATCTCCTGAGGTGACTCACCGTTCCTTCACCTTTTCAGTCAAAAAAAGCATTCATGACTGGAGTGGACAGATGGGCCTTGGCATAGGGGTCAAAGTGTTCAGGGTATTTACCTTTATTAAGAAATTCTTTGTTTCACTATTTCAGGATCCATATTGAACTCAAAGTACTCATAACATTGAAAGGTTCAGGTCTGAAATATAAAGTGCCAATGTTTACAGCTGCTTTAGCTAACTTTACTACGACCAAAAACAATCAATGTTCATCATGATAGTCATGTTACAAAAGTTACAGAGGATGATGGGGGAGAACGCCCCTGCCCTTAAGACTATTGTCTGTTTACTGTAGGAGTAAACCCACCTTTTACATGACTTTAGAATGGTGACAAAGGGGAAAAAAAACAAAAAACTGAAGAGCAGTTTTCCTTTTATAGCACAAAAATAAATGTATTGTATAGGGGCATCTTGCCAGCAATCACTACATTATATACCACTACATAACACAACCATTATATTCCATTATATTCCACTATATAACATACAGTGAAATATAATTGAATAATCACAACCATTATATTTGATTCTATTTAACTATATAACAGTGTCATATGTTATAAACACTATTATATAACAGATTTTAAATTAAATTGAGGTCTTAATTTATGTGTGAACGAGATCAAATTTTCATCTAGAAAAAAAGTAATACACAAAACACAAATTAAGCAATAATAATAATGATAATGTAGATGGAAGTATTTCAAATTTAATTGGTAAGTTGAAAATGATTAGTGCAGATAGAAATGAATGCCTAACAGCAAAACTCACAACGAAATTATAAAAGTAAGTATAGCTATGTAACTCCAGCCAGTAAAACTACACAGAACTGAATTAAACATATTGTATTATTAAAATTAAAATACACAAGTCATTTGCTATAAATTACTGCTGATGGGAGCCTTTTGCCTATTGTCTAAAGGGGCTTCTTAAAGGTTTAACATTACAAACAAAAAAGTAAATCTCCATAACAACCAAATAACATTTCTTGTACAACTTAATCATCTCAGGTCTATGAATTATATTTGGTTGGTTGTTCACTAACTAACTAACCAAGTGTGATTACATATTGCTCACCTCTATGCCAAGGTCCGTCTGTCCACTCCAGTCATTAATGCTTTTTTGGCTGAAAAGGTGAAAGGATGTTAAGTCGGCTGAAAAGATTTGGTTAGTTAGGGGTCCAAGCACCTTTAGGTGCATGGAAGCCTAGTGCTTTTGCTAGAATTTTTTTCTTCTTCTTCTTTTTCTGCCCTAAAACGGTTTGTGGAGAAGACACCGTAAGTCATCCAAAGACCAAACTTAGAGGGTAGGTTTAGATCCCCCCCCCCACTACTCAGGCAACTGAAATGACCCCAGTTGGCCTGATGGTGGCGCTATAGAGCAACATTTTACCTTTTTGCCCATATCTCCTGAACCATGGGGGCTACACTCAAAATTATTGCTTCTTCATAATCCTTGCTTTATTCTACATCAACGCTCCACTGCATGTTTTTAGCCCCGCCCCCAAATTTATCATCATAATGGGCAAATAATATGTGACATCTACATTTTTCTACTAGTCTGAGGTTTTTCAAGATATCAAAACAATATTGGTCTCAAAATGTTCAGGGGAGTCTGGAGGTCAAGAATTATAAAAAAAAATTGAATATTTGTACACAATATGGCTGCCACATGCCAATTAAGACCCTCTGGGTTTGGCTTAATTCACATAGATGGCTACAGATCAAGACTGCTTTGGCCAATTCACATCAAACTTATCAGTCCTGTACCCCCCATGATTCTGTGGAAGCCCCCCAAGCTTGATACTGATTACTCAATAGGGGCGCTATAACAACCAAAAATCTGTTTCTCAGCAACCGCTTGGCCAATTGAGCTGAAACTCTGCATGCTGTATCCATGGCCTAATATTTACATGGTCTATTAAGGACAACTGAATCATTGGACAAATATGGCCGCCTTTGGCCAATAAGCTTTCAACAGGCATTTGGAGGGCTTAGCATTGGCCAATCATCATAAAAATGAAAGTATATGTCCACATACACAATCTCTAATAGCCTATAAAGTTTGACCTCAATTGGCCATGAGGTGGCGCTATAGAGCATAAACAAGGATAAGTCCTATAAATTTTATCAAAGATCAAAATAGATCAATTCATATCATTGCTTACACTGAGAATGACATTTTATCAAATACAAGTCTTTTAAAATTCTGTAATCTTTTTCTTTGATTGATCAATGTTTGAAAATTGAGCTTTTCGAACTAGTCTGTGGATTTTAAGACTATTGTTTCAATTTTGGTCTTCAAACAATCTGTGAAGTCCGCAGGTAAATAATTATCAAAAAAACCTTAACTTTATTGCAAAGAACAGCCATAAGACACCAATGAATCTGTTCGGCCTGGCCTTTTCTGACTTAGGGGGCTACAGATTCTTTAGTTTTTAGGTGATTGTGATAAATCTTGGTAAACTTGTACAATACTGTTTTCTGAGGAAACATGCAGAGTTTCATTTAAATTGATTGTCATAAACCCCTACAATACTTAATCTAGTGCGTAATTATTAAAATGTCATATTCTTCTATGGATGAAATAAAGAAAAGATAGTGGTTTCAAATTACACATCTCATTAACATCTAACACATTGCAATTATATGTATGTTCCAAAATTGCACAGGAAATGTGGAAATTTGACTTAAACCCAGGTTGGCCACACAATTAATAAGGGTAATATCTTCTGCCCAGCAGAGGGAGCATCAGCATTAAATGCAAATTATGACTTCAAACATACTTATGGTCGTAGTCTTTGCAACATCTATCTTGCAGCAAAGGAACTGTCTGAATTTTATCTATTCCACTGAGCCAAGCAATTTTGTGTATACAAGTCTTTTAAAAAACTGTATTGTTTTTCTGTAAATCATCCGAGTTTGAAAACTGATGTTCTCATACTGCTTGCTGAAATGTTTTTTGCAACGTCTCAAACTTGGTCTCTAAACAACTGTTAAAGTCTCATGATCAATAATCATTTTAAAAATCTTGCCTTTTAAGCACAATATTATTGCAAGTTATGGAAAAATCAGTTCGGTCCAGCCTTAATCGGAAACAAGGGACCACAAATCTGTCACTCATGCTCTGACTGTGACCAAAAATGATATATACTTTGACAGTAATAAGCTGAGGAAACGTATGACATTAGGCTTGAATTGGCTTAAGTTGGCTCTTACAATGCTCAATGTACTGCCAACAATCTAAAATGTAATTATTCTGTCTAAGAATAAAAACAATAAAAACATGACAATTGTTTCAAATTGTGCATCTTAATGAGAATTCTCACTTTGCAAATATGTGTAGGTTGTACTGTACAGGAAATCCTATTATTTGATCTCAGCAAATTTTGTTCAGAGCAACAGTTTTTCTCTGGCCACCAGAGGGAGCCAAATCAGTAACTGCACATCATTGTTGACATATATATGGAAAGCTTTACTGTATATCATTAAGCGAAGAGCATTTCTGAATGTTATGTTTTCCACTAAGCCTAACAATTTTGCAAATACAAGTCTTAAAAAACTTTCAGTAATATCACAGTTGAAAAATGATGGAGAATAGACGTTTCTTACTAATTCCTGAGTTTAAATCAAATTTAAAACATCAGATTGAAAATATCATGACATAAGCACAGTGTGGCTGAAGATTTGAATAAATTGGTGTGAACTGACTTATTCTGCCAACAATACACCAATAATTGTCTGAATATAACCAAATTTGACATAAATATACAAAATGACAAATTAAGAGTGTATTATGATGATTTCATTTGGAATTGTACCTCAGTGGTCACAGTAATTGCAAGGTGTGAACTAATTCCCAAAACGGTGCTTAGTTCCTTATTGCTCCGTACCAATAAATTCACTCAAAAAAAAAAAAAAACAGGTCTGCTGTGAGTGTCTTGTAGCTCACCATGAAAACATCTGCCTTTGAAGATTACGGTCATGGGTTTGATTCCCTGTCACAGATGTTGGATGGTGCTGTAGCAGTTGTTGTGAACACATGCTTAATTATCTTAATCTTAATGAAGGGTCTTTCTTAAAAATCCAACGATTTGCTGTCTTCTATGGCCAGAGACATAAAATTTATTTATGCTGCTACTTTGTCCTAAAATGGTGCGTGGTTCTTTGTTGCTTCCTCTCAATAAATTGTTTCGAAAACTGCGATTTTGCCGCGGATGTCTTTGAACTCTAAGGTCGTGGGTTCGAATCCCTGTCATGGATGTTAAAATGAGTTGCGTAGATTGTAGCAGATGTATCACCTAGTGGTCTTAATCATTGGGAAAGGAGATCTTTCTTAAAAATCTAAAGATCTGCTGCCTTCTACAACCAGGGGCCACTACTTTACTCCTCAATGTCTTCCTGGTGCTTGGACCCCGCAGATTGCCGCTTGCGGCTATATTTTTCATTATATTTTGTGGGGATGCAGTGCAGTCACATCAGAACTGGTCACCCTTATGCCAAGGCCCATCTGTCCACTCAAGTCATTAGTGTCTTTTTCGGATGAAATGGTGAAGGGATGGTAAGTCACCTGAAAAGTTTGTTAGTTTTTACTAATTTTGTGGAGATGCAGTGCAGTCACATATTCTAATAGAAGCTGTCAGCATTGGAGACCCGTATGCCAAGACCCGTCTGTCTACTCCAGTCATGAATGCTGTGTTTGGCTGAAAAGTTAAAAGGATGGTAATTTTCCTGAAAAGATTTGTTTAGTTTTCACAATTTGTTGTGGAGATGTAGTGCAGTCGCATATTTTGACGGCAGATGTCAGAATTGGTGACCCCTATGCCAAGACCCATCTGTCTACTCCAGTCATGAATGCTGTATTTGGCTGAAAAGGTCATGCTAAGCCTCCTAAAAAAAAAAAGTAATCTACTTTTTCGTGGAGATGCAGTGGGGTCACACATTCTGACTGTAGCTGTCATAACTGATGACTCTGGTATCAGGACTTATCTGTGCAAACCAGTCACTACATCATTCTCATTTAAAGCCAATATAACCAAGGTTATATATAAGGTTAAAGACAGGACCTGGCTAAGCAAATGTGTCATCTACCATGTGAATGTATAACCCCAATGTGACTCCATAATAACAGAAAACAATGACAAAATAACCAAAACCTTATAGGAGAATAAACACCTTTCAAATTTTTATCCAGAAAGCCATGATGACCACTGTCCAAATGAAGCCTGAGTAGGAATAGCCTAGAAATGGTACAACTTATCAGTTTAGCACAACAGAACAGGCAGGGGTGTGATATAATTCTTCCAGCAGCTTTGCAATATAAAAGTATTATGTGTGATGGACAAAATTAAATGTATTATTCTGACTGTTACTTGATACTTGTATAGTGTGTTATTAATATTCTACAAAAATGTGTTATTGTGCCTGACATTTTGCTTACTTCAGGCAAAGAAGCTTGCTGTTGTCTGGAGTAGATATTGTCTGACCTTCCTGATGTGACACTTAAATGTGTACAAGATTTGTAATGAAACACTTTTATTTACGTAATTCTAGACAATATAAAATGTAAACACACATTTCTCATCGTTAGGCTTGCTGAATGCAGCAGAAGGAGAAATCAAAGCGCGTCGGCGTAAGTTAGCTTACGCAGTCTGCGTAAAGCGCTCGTGTGAACAGAAACTGCGCAATTGCGCCCTGTACGATCACACAACTTGATGGTCACAGAATTCGGTGTAACAATCTGAGCCAAACAGTCTGAACACATTTGGAGCCAGTGCTTTAAACAAGTTCAAACAGTCAGAACCAAAAACAGAACGGGGTATTTAACCGGTTTGAGGGGGATTGAGCAGATGACAATAACCTGCTTAACTTACCGGTCTCAGGACTCTTATGGCCTCCTGGATAACCTTGGGAGTGTTTTTAACCGAGCACAGAACGAGTGTGCAGACCACCACGTCCATAGAATTGTCCTCCACGACCCTCAGGTCCTCCCCAGACGCCACTACGAAGTTCTCGTACACCAGGTGGTCGTTCTTGTCCATGCTTTTCTGCAGGTAATCCTTAAAGTGAGGGTTAGGGTCGGTGCAGGTGATATTGCAGCCGCTCGGGTAGTGCTGAAAGTTGGCCCCGCTGCCGCAGCCCACCTCCAGCAGGTGCAGCGGCCCATCGCGCGGAGAGAAGCGCAGCAGGTCGCGAAACAGCTCGCGCTTCTTCTCGTCCATCTTTCGGTTGTATGAAAAGCTAACGTAATACGTGAGGATGGGAAACACGCGCTTGTAGAATCGGTACAGACCCAGCAGCTCCCACAGCTGCAGCGGCAGGATGAGGATTTTTACCACCAAAGTACACGCGTGCATTAAAATCGACATACCGGCAACGGACGCCGACAAGCAGCTCAACAAACGAACGTAGCCTGCTGACCCTTATGAACTCACAGAGCTGCGACAAGAGGTGACGGAGGAGGAGCTTCCTGCGATGGGATTGGCTGGAACTGACGGTGACGACTTGTAGTTCAGACTCTCAGCCTACTTGATCTGAATGTTTTTAGTTTTTATTTTGTTGTATTTTACAGTTTCTGTCCTGTGACGTTTTCCCTGTCCGCCTTTCTGGTCTTTTTATTTATAAATTCTTGCTGTTATTAGATCCAGTAACCACCAGAGTGTGAAAGGTGTATTTGCTTAGCTCCACACCAGCTGGTGTGTATCTAATAGTCTTAGATATTTCTAACAGTAATAACCCTTTCAAACTGAAATAATACCCAACAACCATGACCTACTGTTTCCAACTAGCACACTGTCAGCTGATGTGGTGGTGAGGAGGAAAAGAGCAAACAATTAAAATAAAGACAAAACAGTGACATCATAGTTGTCTTGTGTTTATGTAAATATATATGATTGACACTACATTTCTCAACATACGTTCTGAATACTTTACTAACTGTAATGCTTCATTGTTGTATTTGTGCATGCCTGATGTGGAGTTAAGCAAAACTGACAGTAATGCTGCATTTACATGTTGGCAGTAAACAGGAGACAGCACATTCCATTGTTTTCAATAGAGCTGCGGCAGAAAATTCTGACACGACCTTTGGCTGTTGACCACAGCAGTGAAATAAACCCTATGTTGATTGTTTTGAGAGCTAAACCGCAAAAAATAAAAGAATACAGAGCGTACTCTTCTCCGTACCCTCCTGCCTTTTTCCACCTTAAACAATTACAAGACACACTGCTTTTCCTTTATTTAACCATCCGTTAATGCTGTCACCATGCCAGCATGTGCATGGCTTCATGCTGCCATCTGTCATGTACCACTATGAGGCATGGAACCTTTTTTAATGCAAACGTAAACACACAAGGACAGCACAGTGACATCACAATTGTTTTGGCATCAACTAAATATATGCATTCCTGACTAATAAAGTAGGTTTGTCATTATTTTACACTACAAACATTACATTAAACATTACTTTCCAGTACTTATCAGAAACAGAAAAAAACAGGGAGTACATGTCAGATAATGTGAATATACAGTGGTGCTTGAAATGTTGTGAACTCTTTAGAATTTTCTATATTTCTGCATAAATTTGACCTAAAACTTCATCAGATTTTCAAACAAGTCCTAATAGTAGATAAAGAGAACCAAATTAAACAAATGAGACAAAATATAAGACTTGGTCATTTATTCAATGAGGAAAATGATCCCATATTACATATCTGTGAGTGGCAAAAGTATATGGACCTTTGCTTTCAGTATCTGGTGTGACCCCCTTGTGCAGCAATAAACCAGTAACTGTTGATTAGTCCTGCACATTGGCTTGGTGGAACTTCAGCCAATTCCTCCGTACAAAACAGCTTCAACTCTGTTATGTTGGTGGGTTTCCTCCCATGAACTGCTTGCTTCAGGTCCTTCCACAACATTTCTATAGGATTAAGGTCAGGACTTTGACTTCACCATTCCAAAACATGAACTTTATTCTTCTTTAACCATTCTTTGGTAGAATGACTTGTGTGGTTAGGGTTGTTGTCTTGCTGCATGACCCACGTTCTCTTGAGTTTCAGCTCACGGGCAGATGTCCTGACATTTTCCTTTAGAATTTGCTGGTATAAATCAAAGTTCATTGTTTCATCAATAATGGTAAGCCGTCCTGGCCCAGATGCAGCAAAACAGGCCCAAACCATGATACTACCACCACCATGTTTCACAGATGGGATAAGGTTTTTATGCTGGAATGCAGTGTTTTCCTTTCTCCTAACATAATGCTTCTCATTTAAACCAAAAAGATGTCTTTTGGTCTTATCTGCCCCTCTGGCTTGTCCAAGTGATCTTTAGCAACTGCAGACGGGCAGCAATGTTCTTTTTGGAAAGCAGCAGCTTTCTCCTTGCAACCCTGCCATGCACACCATTGTTGTTCAGTGTTCTCCTGATGGTGGACTCATGAACATAAACATTAGCCACTATAAGACAGGCTTTTAGTTGCTTAAAAGTTACCCTGGGTTTGTGACCTCATGGACCATTACACGACTTGCTCTTGGTGTGATCTTTGTTGGTCGACCACTCCTGGGTAGCGTAACAGTGGTCTTGAAACTCCTCCATTTGTACACAATCTGACTGTGGATTGGTGAAGTCCTTTAGAGATGGTTTTGTAACCTTTTCCAGCCTGATGAGCATAAACAACTGTTCCTCTGAGGTCCTCAGAAATCTCCTTTGTTTATGCCATGATACACTTCCACAAACATGTGTTGTGAAGATCAGACTGTGATAGATCCCTGTTCTTTAAATAATACAGGGTGGTCACTCACACCTGTTTGCCATCCCATTGATTTAAAACACCTGATTAATTTCAACATCAAATGATCTGTTCATTATAAAGGTTCACATACTTTTGCCACTCATAGATATATAATATTGGATCACTTTCCTCAATAAATAAATGAACAAGTCTAATATTTTTGTCTCATTTGTTTAATTTGGTTCTCTTTATCTACTATTTGGATGTAATAAGTTTGCATACTTTTTTAAAACTAAAATCCATAATATCAGGCAAGCCATTAATACATCTGTATCCACCAAAGAGCCCATGTCCTCTCCATCACCACATAAAGATATCATGGTTGAAATGTCCCAGTTTAGTGCTTAAATTTTAATCGATCAATACTTAAATTTTAATCGATATACTGAGTCATCCCAAATCCTCCACTTGTAGTCTTGACATGTTGCCAACCAACTTTTTAAAGGACATGCTTCACTGAGTAGTAGCAGACATACTTCAGATGGTAAACACCTCACTAATGTCAGGCATTTTTCCTAACAAATTAAAAACTGTAGTTATGAAGCCTATTTTGAAAATGAAAAATCTAGAAGCACTATTGAATAATTACAGACTGATTCCAAATGACCGATTCAAGCAACTTACTGGCTTTCTGTCCTTAAATAGCTGTGTAGACAAATTTCAGTCAGGCTTTTGGCCTAATTATACTACTGAGATGTGTCTCAACTTATTAATGACATTGATTTAAATACAGACTCTGGAAAAACTTTGATAACACTGACCATAAAAGTCTCATAATTAGACTTGAGAACTGGGTTGGGCTCTCTGTAACTGTCCTAAAATGGTTCAGTTCATACCTGCAAGGAAGGGACTACTTTGAGGAAACTGAAAATTACGTTTCTGAAACAGTGCCAGTGACCTGTAGTGACCTCTAGGGTTCAATTCTTGGGCCACTCTTATTTAATTTATACATGCTGCCTCTTGGCCAATTACTACAAGACCATCTTACCACAGCTATGCAAATGATACTCAGATCTACTTGGCCCTCTCCCCAAACAACTATGGTCCTCTTGACTTAATTTGTAAGTGCCTTGAGCACATCACTAACTGGATGGGACAAAACTTTCTGTAGTTGAATAAAAATAAAACAGAGATTATTTTATTTGGGGACAGACTATCTGCCTATCAGGATTCAAGAGCCTTAAAATCTAAATAACTAGTATCTCAGTGTACTAATGGACTCAGATAATAATTTTAGCTGTCATGTCAAAGCAGTTACTAAATCAGTTTTTCTCACCTTAAGAACATCAACAAGATCAGAGATTTTCTGACTAAACCAGACCTGGAGAAACTCATCCACACCTTTATTTGTAGCAGGATTGATTAGTGTAATGGTCTCCTAAATGGACTCCCAAAAAAGACAAACAGCTTCAGATGATTTAAAATGCAGCTGCCAAAATTCTAACTAGGAGTAAAAGATGGAAACACATCACCCCATTCTTAAAACCTTACACCGGCTACCAGTGTATCTTAGAATAGACTCTAAGATACTGTTACTGGTCTATAAATCGCCTAATGGTGTAGGACCACCATATTTATCTCATATGAACTCAGATCATTAGAAACTATTCAGTTAGTCCTGCTTAGGGTAAAGACTAAACATTTAAACATGTTTAAATGGAACCAGTTGACAGAGAACATAAGAATAATTTAATTTTTTATTTTTAATTTGATTTTTAGTTATCGTATTTTAATTTCTAATTTGATTTTTGGTTCAATCATTTTCTCTTTGAAATTTGTTTTGTTTTGTTTTGAATCATTTTTTTTATTTCCATTCTTTTACTTCTGCCTTGCCTTCTACTGTGTACCTAGGATCCTTGCATAGTCAGTGTGACTGTGTAATTCACAATTTTGCAGCTGCTATATATTAATCAGTAACTACTGTGAAATAAGCATGTAAGATACATAGTTCTGGACCTGTCAATGAGTCCTTAGATTTTGAGGGTTTTAAAAATAAAAGTATTATATTGCAAAATAATATTTATATTACATTGCAAATTATTACTTTTCTTTAAGCAAGATTTTTTAAAATCCCAATCGTTTGCACTTGCCACATATTTGCACAGCACACAGTACTTTGCAAAAGTCAGAGACCACCATTTGCGAATCAAACAAAGAAGCTGCTGGTGTTCTCAGAAAAATGGACTGACCACCACAGAGACCAGACCTCAACACCATTGAACATGTTGGAGATAACTGGGATTGTGAGAAGCAGGAAATGCAACCAACTTCTAAGACTGAACCTTGGAGGTGTGGAAAAGTATCTCTGCACATTTTTTAATAAACTGAAAGCAAGTTAAAAAGAATTTAAGCTGTAATAAAGGAAAATGGTGGACACACAAAAAATACTATAAAACATTAAATTATATTTAGTTGTGGTTTCTGTGTAGTTTTCTGTATACATGCATACATACATATATGCCTATTTTTGATTGGAAATTAAATGAATGGAAGGTGGTCTCTGACTTTTCCACAGTTACAGTTTTTTGATCTGTAAATGGCACAAAAATGTGTTTGTGTTAATAAATAATTATGTATCAAAAGGCAGAACAATCCTTTCACTCAAGAATTCTGTGCTTTTTTAAGGTCTTGTGAAATAACA